TCCTACGAATCCGCAAGAGCGCGCGGGATGAGATTTTGACAATTTTTTGTTGAAAAACCATTGGTTTTTTGATGTTTTTATGTTAAAATCGCTGCGAACACTAAGGTTTTGGAAGGATTTCGTCTTGCGCGCGCGAATGTCCACTTTACCTTATTTTTTGCAAGGGATTCTTGAAATTTGATTATATTAGAACAAGAAATGTCATTTTCTATTGTTTTTTGCAAGGGAAAGCGGATTACAACAAAACAACCGGATCCTGTACACACCCTCTTTTCTGAGGCTTCCTCACGAAAATGATGAAAATGTAGCTGCGGCCTAGGCGGCGCAGGGGGGGCGCGCACCAGGGGGCCCAACAATAATTATTCTTTAGAATAAATAATGTTCAACAACAATCATGTTGGCATCGTGCGCGATGTTTCCACACGACGCATGCGACCATCATGATTCCCATCCCAATCATGGGGGACTCTGGTTCTATAGCGGGGTCCGTTATTCCCATTCCCAGATCTCCCGCCCAATGAGGTCTTGCAAACACCTCCTCCGAGGAATTTCAACATATCCATCCTCGAAAACGCATGCCCGCGCCTTGCTGCGCCGATGCGAGACCGCCAGTGGAGCCCCAGCCAAGGGTAAAGCACAAGGAAGTATCGAGCGACAGGATTGCTTTGGTGGGGATGGAGGCTGTCGGTGGCGAGGCAAGGACGTGGCCCTGAACAGATAGAGAGGAAGTCTCGAGCAGAGCCGCTGTTGTTGCTGGGAGCGGCGCCAATGCTGAACAGAGTAGGGCGCTAGTCCAGCGTAAAACAAACCGAAGTCTCGAGCGGGAGCGCTGGTTTTGTTGGGACGGCGGTTGTCGGTGGCGAGGAGGGAGGAAGTCTCGAGCGGGAGCCGTGGTTTTGTCGGGACGGGGGCTGTCGGCGGCGAGGAACAGCACCGCCCCGAGGAAATAGGGAGGAAACCTCGAGCGGGAGGGTTGTCCTTGCTGGGAGCGGCGTCAATTCAAAAGAGAGTAGGGCGCCAGTCCAGCGTAAAACAAACCGAAGTCTCGGGCGGGAGCGCTGGTTTTGTTGGGACGGCGGTTGTCGGCGGCGAGGAGGGAGGAAGTCTCGAGCGGGAGCCGTGGTTTTGTCGGGACGGGGGCTGTCGGCGGCGAGGAACAGCACCGCCCCGAGGAAATAGGAAGGAAACCTCGAGCGGGAGGGTTGTCCTTGCTGGGAGCGGCGTCAATTCAAAAGAGAGTAGGGCGCCAGTCCAGCGTAAAACGGGAGGAAGTCTCGGGCGGGAGCGCTGGTTTTGTCGGGACGGCGGATTTCGGTGGCGAGGAGGATCAACGCCATGAGAAACAAGAGACGAAGTCTCGAGCGGGGGCGCCGCTGATGAGAGAATCTAGCGCGCCAGTCCAGAGTCAAACGGGAGGAAGTCTCGAGCGGTAGCGCTGGTTTTGTTGGGACGGCGGCATTCGGCGGCGAGCAAGAGCGCCGGCCCTGAGTAAAAAAGGAGGAAGTCTCGGGCGGGAGCGGTGTTGTTGTTGTTGGGGGGCCCGTTTTGGTGCCCCCCCAAACCGCTCGAGCGTGAGCTTCGTTTCAATGAAAATGTACCGGCGCCGAGGCGAGAGCGCCAAAGGGCCTGGGGGGGTCCAACAATCATCATTGTTTAGTCATTGACATTCAACAACAACAACAACAATAACAACAAAAACAACAACAACAACAACAACAACAACAACAACAACAACAACAACAACAACAACAACAACAACAACACCATCACCAACAACAACACCATCACCAACAACAACACCAGTAACAATAACAACAACAACACCACCAACAACAACATCATGACTAACAATAACAAACAACAACAACCATCACCACCACCACAAACAACAACAACAACCACAACAACAGCCACAGCAACAACAACAACAACAACAACCACAACCACAACCACAACCACAACCACAACCACAACCACAACAATCATTTTAAGACTGTTCGCCCTTATCTGTTCGAGTGTCCAATAACGCGTTTTTCATAAACCCTCGATACCCGCCCTCTTCGTCTTCGATCGAAACCTTTTTTTTTGGGGGGTATACCTTTCTCCCCTGCAGGCCGGACCCTGGCAAGCGGCGGGGCGGCCGCGGACCGTTGGCCTGGCCAGAGGCAGCGCTGATCGGCAGGGCGGCCGCGGACCGTCGACCCGACCGCAAGAGGAACGGACAGGAGACCGACGACGACGACGTCGACGACGACGACGGCGACGACGACGGAGGCGACGACGACGACGACGGCGACGACGACGACGAGCGAAAGCGAGAGCGAGAGAGAACGACAGCAGGGCCACGAAGGACACGGACTAGGCCACGAAGGGCGACAGCGGGGACACGAAGGGAATGCGTATGGGGCCACGAAGATCGCGAACGAGCGGGGGTCACGAAGGACAGATAAAGCAGGGCCACGGAAGGCAACGATGGGGCCACTGAGGGTAGCAACTGGGCCACGTAGGACAGTGAGGGGGCCACAAACGGCGACAGCGGGGCCACGAAGGGCATGCACATCGGGCCACAACGGGCGCGAACGAGCGGGGGCCACGAAGGGCATACGTATGCTGGGCCGCGGAGGACAAGGACGGGGCCACTGAGGGCAGCAACGGGGCCACGAAGGGCAGCAAGGGGGCCACGAAGGGCGACAGCGGAGCCACGAAGGGCATGCATATGGAGCCACCACGGGCGCGAACGAGCGGGGGCCACGAAGGGCATACATATATGGGGCCACGAAGGACAGCGAGGGGGCCACGAAGGGCTGCAACGGGGCCACGAAGAGGAGTGAGGGGGCCACGAAGGGCTGCAACGGGGCCACGAAGGGCTGCAACGGGGCCACGAAGGGAAACGAGGGGGCCACGAAGGGCTGCGACGGGGCCACGAAACAAAGCGAGGGGGCCACCAAGGGTTGCAACGGGGCCACGAAACAAAGCGAGGGGGCCACGAAGGGCTGCAACGGGGCCACGAAGGGAAACGAGGGGGCCACGAAGGGCTGCAACGGGGCCACGAAACAAAACGAGGGGACCACGAAGGGCTGCAACGGGGCCACGAAGGGCAGCGAGATTTCGATTCTTAGGTAATCTGTGAGGGAGTCCTAAGCGTGAGCGCGACTCCTGGGTGCGTGGGTGTCGGGAGCGCGGCGCTTGAGTAAATTGCAGGAAATTCCGACGCAAGGGCGCTACTCGCCAATAAATTGCAAGCAAGTCTCCAGCGAGAGCGCGACTCCAGAACGCCGGGAGAGCGATTCCTGAATAAATTGTAAGGAAGTCCCAAGCGAGAGCGCGACTCCTGAATAAAATGCGAGGACGTCTCGGGCGGGAGCGGGGGTCTTGGCTAAGCTGTGGGGGAGTCAAAGGCGGGAGCCGTTGTTGTTGTAACCCGGGGGCCAGGGGCCCAGCTTGAGTCCCTGTCAAAAAACAGGGTGCGAGCGTCGAGGGGCACACTTTGATTGAGAAAAGCAGTATGCACCAGTGGGAGAATTCAACAACAACCACAACAACAACGATCCGCACCGCACCGCATAATCTTACTTTTCAACCACGTGATATCACCTGCGATCATTATATCATTCGGTTGCTGGGGTGTGAGATTGCAGTGAAAGGGAGAGTTCCCCACCAGAAAGCCGGTTTCGGTTTCGTGTTCGTGTCGTGCGTGCGGGCGAGGCGAAGCTGCGTGGGAACGCGAGAGAAATGACCCCCCCGTCGCTAGGGCGATCTGGATGCAATGGATCGCCCCTCCGCCCCTGGTGGGCGCGCGGCGGACCAGGATGTCCAGCCGTGGTGTCTCGTGGTGTCCCGTTGGTGTCCCGTTGGTGCCCCGTTGGTGTCCCGTCGGTGTTCCGTCGGCGGTGGGCTGGCGGTGGCCCAGGGTGTTCCGCCTTCGTACCGATAGTGAAGTCGATACTGAGATCGATAATGATACTGCTAGAATGGGATGGATATGGTGAGATCAACAGTGAGATCGACAGTGCGGTAAATTGTGATGAGATCGATATTGAGATCGATAGTGTGATCGATCGAGGAATTTATAGTGAGATCGATAGTGAGGTCGACAGCGAGATCGATAGCGATAATGATCGTGATATTACATCGCAGCACAACCCATCGCATTTGACAGCAGTTGGTTCTTCCCCCCCGGTTCTTCCCCCCCACCCCCAACTTCCTTGTCACGCGAAGGGTGGTCGTATAGGTATACCAGTGTCACCTTCGATCGGTCTCAGCATCCATCTCAGAATCGCTCCAACTATCTATATATCGATCTCACTATTGATCTGTATGACAATCAATGGTTTTCACGATATATTATTCTCTCGATCTCACGAGACAACCATTGCGACAACCATCGAGGCAACCATCGTCGGGACACCATCGGGACATCATCGGGACACCATCGGGACGCGATCGGGACACCATCGGGACACCATCGGGACACCATCGGGACACCCCTTGGCCACCGCTGGCCGATCGGGGGGAAGGGCACGGTGGCGGGTCTCCGAAACCGATGCCCCAGTGGCGGGTCTCCGTTTCACTCCGATCGCACCCCCGACTTCCGACAACACATGTATGCATCTTCAGGTGGTTTCCTGCAATTGTGTTTATCGATGTATGCATTGTACGCATGCGCACACCTTCCTGTTCTGAACATAAGACAAGTCGGACTATATAGAGAGAGAGAGGGAGAGAGAGAGAGAGAGAGATCGAGGGAGAGAGAAAGAGAGGGAGAGAGAGAGAGAGACATATAGCAATAAAGGTAATGAGAGAGACAAAGAGAAATACAGAGGCAGGCAGAGAGACAAATACGTCAATACTCATGTATGTATATATATAAATCTATAAAGAGAGAGAGAGAGAGAGAAAGAAAAAAAAGACAAAAACGAAGAGAGAGAGAGAGAGAAAGACAGAAAACACGAGAGAGAGAGAGAGACAGAGAGTCCACATTCTGATTGTGCTGGCGCCAGGTCCGCTGCTGGACCCCTTCACCGGCGTGTCATGCCGCATGTATCAAGCCACGGCAGGTTTGCACGCATTGCACTGCGACTTGTGCTGAGCATTTCATCACTGCTGCTGTGGCTGCCCCTCATTATCTCTCCTACCTCTCGCCTGCTCCTTCATCCTCTTTGTCTCTCTCTTTCTCTCTCTTTCTTTGTTTGTTTCTCTCTCTCTCTTTATGTAGTTTTGGTTTTCTCCCTCCTCACTGCTCCCCTTTCCACTCGACCCTCATCCTCCCTCTTCCTCCGCTTGTTGTTTCCCCTTGCCGCTGCTGCTCCTTACCTTTGGATGATGTTAATGAGGAGTAGGTGGATAAGAAACAAGAGGGTGATGATAATGGAGATGGGGGAGGAGGAGCCAGAGGAGGAGGAGGAGGAGGAGGAGGAGACGGAGGAGGAAGAGGAGGAGGAGGAGGAGGACGTGGCGAGGATATTGAGGGAGATCGGACATAGCGATGATATTGGGGGTGGAAGAGGGAGGAGAGGGGATGGAGGAGAGGCAAAGGACGAGAAGGGGGAGGGGATCCATGGGCTTCGGACCCCGCCAAGGGAACTCGCGCCCCGTGTTCCCCCCCGTTCCTCCAGTCCAGTCATTCTTGTCTTCCTTTTCTACGAGAGAGCGCTTTCTATTTGCGCTTGGGCAGAGGGGATGGTGCAGAACCTCCCCTGGGGGCTCGGATCCCCCCCCCTCCAGCAACGCAAGGGTGGGAGGGGGAGGGGGTTCTGGGACCCCTCCTTCCCCTCCCCCTGGCGCAAGAGGGGAGGATCGAATCCCTCTTTTTACCCGCCGCTGGCGAACCACGGACCTCCCCGAGGCCCCTGCGCCAGAGCGAGGGAGGTCCGGACCCCCCGCTGCCTTAGCGGCAGGGCGGGGAAGGGGGGGGGGGAGGGGGGTCCTCCAGTTTCGGAAGGAGCCTCTGGAGCTTCTGTCGGGGTGAATGGGGGCCCTCGGTGTTGGGACCTCCCTGCCGGAGTTTTCCAAATCAGTCGAACTTGATATTTGTTCCTCCGTTCTACAAATCCCGCTTGCAGGAGGAGTGGAGGAGGAGGAGAAGGAGGAGGAGAAGGAGGAGAAGGAGGAGGAGAAGGAGGAGGACCAGCTTGATCCTCAGACGCATCAGCGATGTTACAATATTCCCTCCCCCAAGACCCCTCTTCATAAGTGCATGCAAGAATGTATTTTCATGTCGGGAAGTGCCCCATTGGAAGGCAACCATCTGATAATCTTCACTCGTGCCAAACTACCATTCCTGGGACTCCAGGGCCGCGGATCGCGCCCTGATAGTTTTAAATTTCGCCGGAACGCCGTCATTGGGACGCCATGACCGCGAATCAACGTGATTGCTACGCCCCGACAATCCTAACTCGCGCCAGAACACCATCTCTTGGAATTCAACCATGTGAACTCTTGTCACGGTTTAAACTTTCAAGACGAAAGCGCGCGGCGTTAAGGCTAGAGCCACATTTCGAAAATTAACTGCCCTCCACGATCTGAAAAACCTTAAGCCGAATGTACGCGGCGCTGATGCGAGAGCCACATTTTGGAAATGGCTCGCCCTCCATCCAGGGGTGCGACAGAGAACAGTTATTTGTAAGGGAAAGGGGAGGAGGAGGAGGAGGAGGAGGAGGATAGTTGTTCGTTGTTGCTGTTGCTGTTGCTGTTGTTGTTGTTGCTGTTGCTGTTGCTGTTGCTGTTGTTGTTGTTGCTGTTGTTGTTGTTGTTGGTGGTGTTGGTGTTGTTGGTGGTGTTGTTGTTGTTGTTGCTGTTGTTGCTGTTGGTGGTGTTGTTGTTGTTGTTTCTCTCTCTCTCTCTGTCCCTCTCTCTGTCTATTTCTCTCGTTTTTGTTGTTGGTTGCTTGCTTGAGTTGTCTCTCTCTCTCTCTATTTCTTCCTCTCTCTCTATTTTGTATTTGTATAGTTTGTTCTCTCTCTCTCTCTCTCTCTCTCTCTTTCTCTCCACACATAAATCTGTAATTGCATTCGCATGCTCACCTATACAAGGTACCTATACGACCACCCTGCGGGTCTGCGGGTGTAAGGAAGTTGGGCGGGGAGGGGCCCAGAAATGGGCAGCAGTGGTGATTGTTGTTCTGACGATGCCAGTGGAGCTTGTCGCGTTGCCGCTCGCTCTTGGGAGCTTTGGTGTCGAGTCGTTTACGTCACCCTTCGCAATTGGGCGCCTTGGTACCATCCCTTTCGGGTGATACGGAGGTGAGGGGGGGGGCAACGTCGCACTCGATCGATCTCACGATCGATCTCACTATCGATCTCACTCGATCGATCTCACTCGATCAATCTCACAATCGATACCACTATCGACCTCACTATCGATCTCACTATCGATCTCACTATCGATCTCACTATCGATCTCACTATCGCTCTCGCTATCGATCTCACTATCGATCGCACTATCGATCTCACGATTGATCTCACTCGTTTCCAGCCTGCAGAAGGAGAAGGATCTGAGGAACAAGGAGGTCGGAGGCCCTCCCCTCGAGCCTCGATCCCCATCCCCTGCCCATTCACCCCTCCCCCCCCCGTCGCACCTCGATCCTCTTCTTCCCTCCCCCCCCCAAAGGAAGGCGAGGAGGGACAGGAGGAAAGACAAGGGAGGAGGAGGAGGAGGAGGAGGAGGAGGAGGTACTCGAAACCCAGATCCTCGAGATCGGGTCCTCCTTCCCCACCTGAGGAGGGAGAAGAGGGAGTAGTAGAGAAGAGGCCCTCCCCTCGAACCCCTCGAATCTCGATCCTTCCCATCCTGCCCCCTCAAGGAGGGCGGGGAGGAATTCGAGGAAACAGGAGGCCCTCGAATCTTCTAGCTTCGAGCCCAGAGCTCCTTCCAAAGGCCGCAGAGTGGGCGAGGATGGAGAAGAGGGAGTCGAAGAGAGTAGGAGGAGGCACCCGAACCTTTTAGCAGCATCCTTCTCCTCACCTCCTTTTGCACCTCGACCCCCCCATCACCCCTCAAGCAGGGCGAGGAGGGAGACGAGCGAGGTGGAGGGGGGAGGCCATCGAATCTTAGAGTTTCGAGCCTGAAGCCTCCCCCACATGTCTCGAGGAGGGCGAAGGGGGAGTAAGAGGAGAAAGGGGGCTCTCGAACTTGCTATCCCCCTTCCCTGGCCCCTTCTTCTCCTCGCGCCTCGACTCTCCTCTTCCCCCCTCAATGGGGGCGAGGAGTGACGGGAGGAAAAAACGAGGCATGAGGAGGCCTTCGCATCTCGATCCTCCTCCCCCCCCCTCACGGAGGGCGAGGAGAGAGAGAGGAGGAATGGCGAGGCAGGATGATGTGGAGGGCGATAAGGGGACAGGAGGGAGAGGCTTCCCCCTTCCCCCCCCCCCCGCTTCTCCCGGAGGTGGCTACCTCTCCCTCGACCGCCCGACAGCCATCCACGTCACGCACTGCCAGACCGAGGTCGGCGCGCAGCAGGCTCGGGGGCCGCGCGCGGGGGGGGGGGGGGGGGGGGGATGGACCCCTCGCGCGGGCGTGGCTCCTGGAGGGGGCGTCCCTGGGGCCTCCCTGGGGCCCGGGGCGTCCCGGGCGGGGGCCTGCCTCGGCACACTGGCCTCCCTCCTGGGGCATCAGGGGGGGCCTCCTGGCCCCCCCCCGTTTCCTGGGCCTCCTGGCCCCCCCCCCCCCTGGGCCTCCTGGGCCCCCCCCCCCCCGGCCTCCTGGGCCTCCTGGACCCCCCCCCCCGGCCTCCTGCCCCCCCCCCGTTTCCTGGGCCTCCTGGGCCCCCCCCCGGCCTGGCCTTTCCTGTCCGCGGTGCGCCTGGGGGCCTCCTGCCGCTCGCGCTCGCCACTCCTCGTGCTTGATCTCGCTGGTTCGGCATGTCTGCGTTCTCTCTCTCTCTCTCTCTCTCTCTTTCTCTCTTCATGTTGTTGTTGTTGTTGTTGTTGTGTTGTTGTTGTGGTTGTGGTTGTGGTTGTGGTTGTGGTTGTGGTTGTGGTTGGTGTTGTGGTTGTGGTTGTGGTTGTGAAAGTGGTTGTGGTTGTGGTTGTTGTTGTTGTTGAACATTATTTATTCTAAAGAATAATTATTGTTGGGCCCCCTGGTGCGCGCCCCCCCTGCGCCGCCTAGGCCGCAGCTACATTTTCATCATTTTCGTGAGGAAGCCTCAGGTAAAAGAGGGTGTGTACAGGATCCGGTTGTTTTGTTGTAATCCGCTTTCCCTTGCAAAAAACAATAGAAAATGACATTTCTTGTTCTAATATAATCAAATTTCAAGAATCCCTTGCAAAAAATAAGGTAAAGTGGACATTCGCGCGCGCAAGACGAAATCCTTCCAAAAGCTTAGTGTTCGGAGCGATTTTAACATAAAAACATCAAAAAACCAATGGTTTTTCAACAAAAAAATGTCAAAATCTCATCCCGCGCGCTCTTGCGGATTCGTAGGAAACCCAACACTTTTTAAACATTTCTGTCAAACGGGCTTTTGCGAGCAACTTTTTCGAACTTCTGCGACAACGGTTGCGCACCTGCCAGGGCCATCATCCCTGTCAAATAATACCATGCGGGACACATTCGTTTTTTCTTCGCGCGCGCACGCCGAAATCTCCAAAAACCATTGGGTTCTTAAGAATTTTAGCACCGCGCATCATAAAATCACACGAATCGCACCGTAGGTCCTCGAAAAACACCTGCACGACTTTTCAAAATTTCCACCCGCGCGCGCTGTCCGAATCCTAAAAAAACCAATGGTTTTCCAACATTTATGTTACATGAGCTCGCGCGAGCTACTTTCGCACGCTCTTGCAACGGGGTTCGCGCGCCTGCCAGGGGCCAGAATCCCTTGCGGTTGCGCCATAGGTTGCGCCCTCGGCCGCCGAGAATAAAACGTCGTCCAGTGTAGTAGCCACGGTCGTCCGCAGGCCACGAAGTGAAGTGTCCGAACGTCATAGGGCGGGAAGCTGGGTGTGGGTGGTGGCGAAGAGTCGTGTGGATATTTGGTAGAGCTTGCACTGCCCCCCCACAAAGTGGGGGTATTGGCTGGCGTCGCATGAAAACCCTGGCACTGGTGAGAACACTGAGCGTTCGGGTAAAATGTTGTTGTGTTGTTGTTGTTTGGTTGTGTTGTGTGTTGTTGTTTGTTGTTGGTTGTGTTGTTGTTGGTGTTGTTGTTGTTGAACATTATTTCTTCTTAAGAATAATTATTGTTGGGGCCCCTGGTGCACGACCCCCCCGCCGCGCCTAGGCCGCAGCCTCATTTTCATCATTTTCGTGAGGAAGTCTCAGGCAAAACGGGGGAGTCCGGATCCGGTTGTGTTGTTACGATCGGTTTTCCCTTGCAAAAAAATAAGCTAAAGTGGACATTTCTTGTTCTAACATAACCAAACTTCAAGAATCCCTTGCAAAAAAATAAGGTAAAGTGGACATTCGCGCGCGCAAGACGAAATCCTTCCAAAACCTTAGTTTTCGTAGCGATTTTAACATAAAAACATCAAAAAACAATGGTTTTTCAAACAAAAATTGTCAAAATTTCATCCCGCGCGCTCTTGCGGATTCGTAGGAAACCCAACACTTTTTAAACATTTCTGTCAAACGGGCTTTTGCGAGCAACTTTTTCGAACTTCTGCAACAACGGTTGCGCACTTGCCAGGGCCATCATCCCTGTCAAATAATACCATGCGGGACACATTCGTTTTTTCTTCGCGCGCGCACGCCGTCGTCGTCGGCCGCGGGGCCCTGAATAGTAGCCACGGTCGTCCGCATGCCACGAAGTGAAGTGTCCGAACGTCATAGGGCGGGAAGCTGGGTGTGGGTGGTGGCGAAGAGTCGTTTGGAAATTTGGTAGAGCTTGAACCGGCCCCCCCACAAAGTGGGGGTATTGCCCGCCTCCTATGAAAACCCTGGCACTGGTGAGAACGGTGTGTCCCCACGTGCTAGTAATTGTTGTTGTTGTTGTTGTTGTGGTGTTGTGGTTGTGGTTGTGGTTGTGGTTTGTGTGGTTGTGGTTGTGTTGTTGTTGTTGTTGTTGTTGTTGCTGTTGTTGTTGTTGTTGTAATTGTTGTTGTTGTGGTTGTGGTTGTTGTTGTGGTTGTTGTTGTGGTTGTTGTTGTTGAATAGGAGCGGGCGCCGGCCCCCGGCGCGCCCCCCCCCCCCCCCCCCCCCAACAACAACAACAACAACAACAACGCCGACGGCTCCCGCTCGAGACTTCCTCGCAATTCACTGAGGTTTGATGGAGTCCTCCACTGGGGCCCCGGCGCTCCCCCCCACGCCCCTACGTCCCCGCGCCCCCGCCCCCCCAGACACTCAACCTTATAGGGGTGCTACCAAAGCTGTGTGACTCCCTTTAGGGATTTTACCAGAGCCGCGTGGATCCGTCTAGGGATCCTACGACAGGTGTAGGGATCCCTATAGGGATCCAACCACAGTTGTATGGATCGTAATAGGGGTCGCTCTACAGCTGTATGGGTCCTTATAGGGATCCTTCCGCAGCTGCATCGGTCCTTATAGGGATTCAATTATATTCGTATGGATCCCTAAAGGGATCCTACCACAGATGTTGAGCATCCCTACAGGCGTCCTACCACAGCTGTATCGGTCCCTAGATCTTACCACGTTTGTATGGATCCCTACAGGGAGCAGGCTGTATCTGTATGGCTCCCGATGGGGATCGTGCCACATCTGTATGGATCCTTACAGGGATCCTACCACAGCTGTGTGGACCCCTATAGGGATCAAGCCACAGCTGCATCGGGCCCTGTAGGGATCGGACCACAGCTGTATGGATCCTTATAGATATCCTCATACAGTTGTGTGGACCCCGATACGGACCCTGCCACGGCTGTGTTGGTCCATAGGAATTCAATAGGGCCCCCCATAGGCATTCGATAGGTCACCATAGGAATTCTAGATGTCACACCATAGGAGTTATATCGGCCTCCATAGGAATTCTATAGGCCTCCATAGGATTCTATATAGGTCCCCATAGGAATTCTGTAGGCTTCCATACGAATTCCATAGGCATCCATAGGAGTTCTGTAGGCCTCCATAGGAATCCCATCGGCCCCCATACACATTCGATTGGCTTCCATACGAATTCTATAGGCACCCATCGGACTTTTATAGGCCTCCATGGGAATTCTATATAGGCCCCCATCGGAATTCTATAGGCCTCCATAGGAATTCTATACAGGCCTCCATCGGAATTCTATAGGCCTCCATCGGAACTCTATAGGCCCCCCATAGGAATTCTATAGGCATCCATAGGCATTCTATATAGGCCTCCATAGGAAATCTATCGCTCCCCATAGGAATTCTATAGGCCTCCATCGGAATTCTATAGCCCTCCATACGAATTCTATATAGGCCTCCATCGGAATTTTATACGGATCCGTGTGGATCCCATACAGGCCGTATGGGATCTGTGTGGGGTCCCACATGCTGTATGGGATCTGTGCGGGATCCCATACAGGCCGTCTGGGCTCTGTATGGGATCCCATACAAAGGCCGTGCGGGACCTGCGTAGGATCCCATACAGGCCGTATGTGATTTGCATAGGATGTTTTAGGATCCCTATGGATCTTTAGGATTCGTAGGCATTCTATGAATTCCTAGGAATCTCGATTCATCTTGAGGAATCCTAGGAAATCTCAGGAATCCCTAGGAATTCTAGGAATTCCTATGAATTTCGAGGACTCATAGGAATCCTAGGAATTCCTTTTGAATATTTTGGATTCCTAGGAGTTTATGAATTCCTTGGAAGCTCTCGGATTCCTTAGAATTCAACGAATTCCTGAGAACCTCTAGGATTCCTAGGAATTCCAGGAACCCTCGGAATTTTCAGAATTCTTGGGAATCTCGAGGACTCATATAAAGGATCTCTATGACTTTTATAAATTCTTAGGAATCTGTAGGATTCCTAGGAATTCTAGGAATCCCCAGGGTTCATAGGAATCTATAGGATTCCTAGGAATCTTTCGGATTCCTAGGGATCTGTATGATTCCAAGCAATCTCTAGGATTCCCAGGAACTCCTGGAATTCCCAGGGATCTCCAGGAATTCTTAGGATACACATGAATTCCTAGCAATCTTTAGGATTCCCAAGGTTTCTAAGAATTCATAGGAATCTTAAGGGTTCCTAGGAATTCCTAGGAATCTCTTGGACTCCTAGGAATTTTAGGAATTCATATGAATCTTGATGATCCCCAGGAATTCTAGGACTTCCTATGAATCTCTTGGAATTCCTAGGAATCATATGAATTCCTAGGAATCTCTAAGAGTTCTAGGAATTCGTAGGAATCTCGAGCATTCCTAGGAATTCCTAGGAATCTCTAGGATGCCTAGGAATTCTGAGCATTTCTAAGAATATTTAAAAGTCATAGGAATTCTATTAATTTCTGTTAAACTTTAGGATCCCTAGGAATTCCAAAGACTCCCCCGCAGCTCTGGGATTCCAGAGATTCCTAGGGATTCCATAGGTT